TAGTGAAGTCTATTAAGGAGACATGACCTGTAATTTAACTACTACTACTACTACTACTACTACTACTACTACTACTACTTACTACTACTACTACTACTACTACTACTACTACTACTACTACTACTACTACTGCTGCTGCTGCTACTACTACTACTATTAGTAGTAGTAGTAGTAGTAGTAGTAGTAGAAGCAGTAGTGAAACCAAGTCGCGTTAAGTTTCAGTTCGTGTAGATACGTCGGGAGACATCCGACTGTGTGTGGCTCGTGATCGTATTATTGTCCTAAACCTTGCGTTGTGTTATTCATTGATTCGTATTAATTGTATAATTGCATTAATTTCTAAACCCAATTCGTTCGTGCTGCATTTCCGCTCGAAGGAAAAGCGATCACACAAATAAATTCATAAGTCCAAAACTGAGCTTCCACGCACAAGAATTTATTGTTGCTCACAACACACACATGAGCAAGAGTCCCAAAATCCAGTAGTCTAACACATGAATCGTAAATGTGCGCGCGCTTAGAAACTCAAACGCTCCCAAGGTGTGGTCATATATATATGACTAGCGAGGTGACGTCGTATCAGGGGTCCCCAAGGCCACTGCAGGCTGAACGGCGTCCCCTCGACACTCGCCTGTGGCGCACTGCACCACGTCGCGTACGTACGTGTCTACATCCGAGTTTGCATCTACTCAGTTAAAACTGACATCCTGCTTCGCCACACAGGCGCGGCCTTGGCTGGTGTACGCGTACTCAACATGCCATAAGAAAATGTACAATGTGAGAAGAGCTATTAATTTCGCCAGAAACAATTTGATTAAACGATAAAACTCTCCGCGCACTTTTACAGTAGCAGTAGTAGCAGTAGGAGTAGCAGCAGCAGCAACAGCAACAGCAGCAGCAGCAGTAGCAGCAGTAGCAGCAACAGCAGCAGTAGTAGTAGTAGTAGTAGTAGTAGTAGTAGCAGCAGTAGTAGCAGCAGCAGCAGCAGCAACAGCAACAACAGCAGCAGTAGCAGCAGCAGTAGTAGCAGCAGCAGCAGCAGCAGCAGTAGTAGCAGTAGTAGCAGCAGTAGTAGCAGTAGCAGCAGCAGCAGCAGTAGTAGCAGTAGTAGCAGCAGCAGTAGCAGTAGCAGCAGCAGTAGTAGCAGTAGTAGCAGCAGCAGTAGCAGCAGCAGTAGCAGTAGTAGCAGCAGCAGTAGCAGTAGCAGCAGCAGTAGTAGCAGTAGTAGCAGTGATGGCAGTAACAACAGTATTTCTGCGTCTCGCATTAGACATTTATGCTAATGCCTTGTGGCACATCCTAGTCTTCTGTTCCCGCTTTTCATCTTTCTATCTATAAATCTCGATTGAAGTATCATTTAGGGATTGATTTTTTAGGAATTGTTAATACAAAGTAAAGAATCACTCGCGGGAATTTTCTCATTAGAGTGACAATCACATTTTATGATGCGTGCGTGCGTGCGTGCGTGCGTACGTGCGTGCGTGCGCGTGCGTGCAAGAGTGCGTGCGTGCGTTTGTGTGTGTGTGTGTGCCTTTGCGTGCGCGGCGTGTGTGCGCGTGAGTGTGTGTATATGTGAACGTAAGCACAATTGTGAGGGTGTACGTTCGTGCGTTCGTGCGCGGCGTGTGTGCGTGCGTGCCTGCGGACGTGGACAGTCGCCCCCTCCCTCCCGCCCACCCCATACATGAATGGCACGGCCCACTCGACCCACCAGCTTGCGATAACGCTCTAGTGACGTCAACATCTTCCAAGAATCGCATCCCTGAAGGTGTGGAAAATTGTGATTATGCGTGACGTCATCATAACGTAAAGCCTAGTCTACACTAGCAAACTTTAGTTTGCAAATTCGAGCAAACTCCAAGTTTGGCAAGAAAAGTTTTCCAAAGTTTGCCAGTGTAGACCAGTTGACAAACTTCGGCAAACTAGTTTGCAGAAGTTAGGCCGTGCACCTTCTTGACAAACTAGTTTGCTGAGGTTTGGAACAACTCAGCAAATCAAATGACAGTTTGTAGTCATGTGATCCTGCAGATGGGCAAAATGTCAGCCTCCAGTAAAGTAAATAAATCAGACAGGGACTGGAGTTTCCAAGAAATTGTTGATTTAATTCAAGAGTATGAAAAGTATCCATGTCTTTACAATACCACCCTCAAAAAATACAAAGGTATAAAAAGAAGGCCGCGTTGCAGCAGATTGCAGCTGTGTTTGATGCAACTGTCTGAGGTCCTCAATTCCTGAAGCAGGCAATGATAGGCCCCAAACTGGTCCTTTTTCATAATCCAGGGTCTGGTCCATAAACGTGGCTTGTTTTGGTTTCGTCGACGACGGCGGTGTTGAATAGCAATTGCAATAATTGCTACTGAGCCACTCACACATACTCTCTTCCTGTGATTCTCGGTTCTGTGGTTCTTGACTCATTGAAGGGAAATCGCTTCTTTTTTTCTCCAATTTATGTAAACTTTCAGAAACTTCACAAAAAGAAAGTTTTGCAAAGTTTCTTCAAGTTTCATAATGTGGACAGGCACCACAAACTTTTCCAAACTTTGGCAAACTCGGAGTTTGCTAAAGTTTGCAAACAAAAGTTTGGTGAAGTTTGCTAGTGTAGACTAGGCTTTAGTCTAGTGAAATATTTGGTACGCTGTACCTGAATTTGTCTTCGGTAAGCATACATTATGTAACGTTTCTACAGAAATCTACAGCGGCTAAAATTTCTGTCGTAAAACGGAAATACAGTAGAACTATCTCAATGCGTTTTTTGTGAAACATTGCGTGTTGCGAGTATTATTTATTATTATTATTATGTTTATTTATTATTGTTGTTTTCTCTGGTTTCACGACAAATACTATATAACAACAGTAGTAGAAATACTCACTTACCTTCTTGTATGTTTTTCTAAACACTGATACTGTGTATATTCGATGGATTAGCTGGATTTGTAATTATGCTTGTCTGATTTCTTGATTCTTTGATTTCTGCTGTCGAGATCGTTTACCCATAATGCTTTGCGCGTTTGTTACACGATTATTATTATTAAATCTTTATTGTTGTTATTATTATTATTAAATCTTTATTGTTGTTATTATTATTATTAAATATTTATTGTACGTAATTCAGATACAAATACATGTACTGACGACAATTTTGTTTATGGATAAAAAATTTGATAAATGCAATAGTGTTGAGTAGTTAAAATTATAAAATTTCTGAGTGATACAGTACAAGTAAAGTGATTAAATAAGGTACACTTTTAAGAAGTACGCTATGCAATCGCCCGCACGTTGCGCGGGCCTTTCATACATACATTTATCTATTTACGCCACGGGCACAACTAGTTTACATATTATCAGGAGCGTATAATGACAAATATTTGTCATTATACGCTCCTGATATTATATACACTATACAGACATCTACGTGTATACGTGTATAGCGCAGCAGAAATAAATATTGACGCAGTGACGTCACGCTATCTCGCAGTAATTTCTCATTCGCTGGTCGGTGTGTCGTTGTTGTCACGTGGTTTGACTGCGGCAACATGGCTCTCGACTATGTGGAAGACGAGGAAATATTGGTGGAACAGTTAAAAGAGACGGCCTTTAACAGGTCATCTTCCTCCGCTGCTGGCATCGACTGGAAAGTTATACTAGTCTACGTGCAATGCTGTAAGTTTGTGGCCGTCGTTTCTGATCCACTGGTAAACTTATACATTTCTAAACATTCCCGCTTCTGCGGGATCGCAGCAGTAACGTAGAATCAGCTGTTTCTGTTTACAGAAGCTCGCGCTCGAGCTGATTGCTTCTCATTTTATTTATTTAGGTAATTATCAACACGTGCATTTATAACAATATGTGAACAGATAAAATATTTAGCTAGCATTATTCGGCGATAAACAGCATGTTAGCAGAAGCACGACGAGGTACATGATGTTAAACTGAACGTATGAATGAAAAAATTGATTGAAAACTAAATATTTGGCAGGATATTGATTTTGTCTAACGACTCACAACGTAAACAGTTTTAAACGCATGTCAAAGTCAAACATAACACAACGTGTGCCAAGTAAATGTACCATTGTATGACCGATTAAAACTACAAATCTGTATATTTCAATAGTTATAGTTCTGATAGTAGTGCAATTATTAGATTCAAGGCATAGCAAAACAAGGACCACAATGTAAATATAAGTGTGCTAGTCATGCTTTTTGTGTATATATCTTTGGTAATTATCCAATTTTATAAATTCAAATTTTTTATTGTAAAAGTATGCAATGTATTGTATATGATGGATAATTGCCTAAATAAATAATAAAAATAAATATAAAAGTGGTTATAGTTAGGATTTCTTTAGCGGTTTGTGTCCGAGTCCAAATCTGGATATATACTTATCAACGATAACGATTATATTTTAGTTTTTTGTCGGAAATCAAACAAAGATTAATGATAATGTTGAGAGTCAATTAATACCAAATGTAGTCGGACACTCGATTGTTAATTTGTAATCGTGGGCTATTTGTGCTATTTGCTGAAAAAGTGAATGATATAAGGTTCTTGCTGGCAGTATATATTCTTATAATTAATCGGCCGTCTATTATGAAGGTTTACATGCAGCCATTAAACTATTACACACTATAGTACACCCAACAGCTGGACTTCACATTTCACCGCGTCACTGACTGTTTACAGCAGTTAACGGACGTGGCAGCTCTGCCTGGATTGATTCCAGGCACTTCCAATAAATCCTGTGTTGTGCACGACATAGTCTTACCACTTTGTCGGTTATAAGAAATGTTAATGTATCTTCATATAACTATTTATTGAACTAAAATATTAGCTTGGTAACTCCCCTCAGGTTTGAAATCATCATGGGGTTTTAAAATTTCTGATTAAGCCAAAGGCAAAACTGTTATGCTTTGCCATATAATTTATTCATTTGACCCCTGCACCTGGTAATGTGTTACATGTGATGTACTGAATCATGCAGTGCATTCCACGAAGATACAGTATCGTCAAACATCCCTTGTGATTTACAAAGTCTTTTGTTAATTTCAGATTTTGTTTCGATTGCTACAATATTGGGCACAGGCATCTTGGGTGAGTAAGCTAGGAGTTATTAGTGATGAGGTACTGTGTGCTACCCTGCCATACATCAGCTGGGCTATTGCTATACATGTATTGACACATTGTGATATATATGTGCATTTATACATTGTGGTATGACGATGTGCATTGAACTGTAATGTATACATTGTGTTGTGATTTATACATTGTGTTGTAATGTAAACATTGTGTTGTGTTGTATACATTGTGTTGTAATAATTATAAACATTCTGTTCTGATTTATACATTGTGTTGTGATGGATCAAGTGTGACATATTATGGATCTGTATTATGGCACAACTGATCTGATCATAGACACAGATTTTAATTTCCTGTTTGTATTCTTCATCTAGGGCTGCCTGTAACATTGGCCCATGCTGGATTCTATCCTTTCCTACTCTCCTTTCTAACTGGATTCTTAATGCAAGTGAGTACATGTGAACTTTATTAAGTTTGTTTATATTTACGTATAACATTCCTTGTGTGTGTGTGTGTGTGTGTGTGTGTGCGTGCGTGCGTGCGTGCGTGCGTGCGTGCGTGCGTGCGTGCGTGCGTGCGCGCGCGTGTGCGTGTCTGTGCGCGTGCGGGCGTGTATATGTGCGCGCGAGTATGCGTGCGCGCGTGTATGTGCGTGCGCCCGTTAATATGTGCGTGCGTGTGCGCGCGCATGCTTGCGTGTGAGGTAGCGGTTACATTCTTCATCATTATAATGAGATGTGGAGAAGGAGAAATTAGCAGTCATGGGTAGCGTCAAGGCTGGAGCGAGAGCGAGGCTAGGGAGGCTGAGAAACGCAGAAGACGCTCCTCCCGCTATTTTAACCCGTTCGCCACGCGACTGAAGCCATGAAGCCCAGCGGAACTGGGCGATTATTCACTGCTGATGCAAGTCAACATCAAACACTGCATGATGTCCCTACAGTGTACGCGCTGCGCATGCGTGCGTGCGTGCGTGCGTGCGTGCGTGCGTGTGTGTGTGCGTGTGCGTGTGCGTGTGCATGCGTGTGTGTGTGTGCGTGTGTGTGCGTGTGCATGTGCTTATTAACAGAGAACAGACAGATGTTAAATAGATGTGTTGTTGGCACATATCTTGTTTGCAGCTATAATAACAAAGCTTATAATATGTGACGTATAATATTGTGATGCTTCTACGGTCGATCATTGCTGCTCACTGCATCACTGCTCTCGTTATATCGTATCATGCGCCCCCCACCCCCCACTATGTTTATGGTTAGTTCGCCCGCATTCAGTTGGTGGTTATTGTTTCACGGCTTGATTACCACCATAAACCCCCCTCCCTCGCCATGTGTGTGTGTGCTGGTAGGTGTAAACTGTTTCATACATGTAATCCCACATCTGTAGTCGAGCCATGGAGGCGGTGAAGAATGGACTTAATAAAACAGAACAAACCAAAATCAGGAGAAATTAGAAGTGTATCTAAAATCATTATATATGTTTCACGTCGATTCCACATAAAACCTAACTACAGATGGCGCCACATGGCAGTCCTGAACATGCTGTAGTAATACTGGCTAACATCTCTCGCTCTCTCTCTCTCTCCCGGCAGGTTCTCCTCATCTACCTGTTTGTAGAGCTGCTACAGAAGGCATATGCAGTGCTGAACGCTGACAGTGAAGGCTGTAGTGAGGTAAATAGCAGGACGCGAGGTGTGGGCCACAACCAGGTTGGTGTTCCTGCTCTAACATAGCCGTGTGTCAGTCACGCTCGATCACGCTCGATCACGCTCGATCGTGCATGTTCGATCATGTTCGTTCTCGCTTGATCATGTTACGTGTGAACACGTGTAACACAGTCAGGCCAGCTGTTACTGACTGTGCCTTTATACAGTTCCCTCACATGGCTGTTTGCTTGTTTGCGCCTACATTTGGTTTTAGTTTTAGCTGCTGAGAGTTGCAATGTGTGAGATATGTGATAGCTACCAATGCACTTGGCATGGGCATAACTCTATAGTAATCATAGTGCGTACTTTAATCTTGTATTATTGTGTTGTTAATGTAGTATAGATATCTATTTACAAACCTCCCCTTACCCTACCCCTCACCCATGTTAGGTCAGTCTTGTATTAACACCTGTCTAAACCTAACACTGCAGTCTGTGGCAGTAATTAAATCCATAGATATAGTAAGTAGATGTATAGGTAGGCACTGAACACACTAGTTATGTTCAATTCTAAAATATATAGGTATGGCAAAAGATGAGTATAGGTGTGATATATGGTGTACAGGTGATCAACCATGATATAGGATGGACAAGTGTGCTCAGGTGTGATATAGGATGTACAGGTGTGATATATGGTGTACAGGTGTGATATATGGTATATAGGTCTGATATAGGGTGTACAGGTGTGATATATGGTATATAGGTCTGATATAGGGTGTACAGGTGTG